GATGATGTAACTTATTAAAATAAAAACATATTTTTAATGGATTTTAGTTAAAATACGATTATAATAATATAATTAAATCAAATAATATTCATTATTGGGTTTATTTCGAAGAGATTGACAATTTTTTTCACAGTGTATATAATATATAATAATATAATTAACTCAAAAACTATTCAATATTAAACTCATTTCGAAGGTATTAACGATACGATTATAATTGTGTAACTTGTTAAAATAAAAAGGTATTTTTTAAACATGTTTTAGTTGATATACGATTATGTATATTAATTTAATAAAGATGCAAAATGAAAAATTTAAAAGTAAAAGGTATAAAATAAATTAATTAAATAATTACAGGGGTATGAAGTATAATTTAAAATTATAATATTAAATAAATTGATCGAATGTGAGAGGGAGGGGGTGGGGATATCAACCCAGTAAAATAGTGTAACCTGGTGTTCACCTACTTTTTTTGGTAAAGATTACCTAAGTAGATATAGGGGAGAGGAGTCTACAGACATGATTTACACTTACTAAAATAAGCAAGTTTACTGTTGTTAAAAAACGGTAACTAGTAATGAACTACTCAAAATAGAAACATATTAATCAATGTATCATCTCGTTTCTTAATTTAACGTTTTCCAAAAGTCAACTGACGGCAAAAAGCAACACAACAACAACAACATCACGAACATGTCTGGAACTGAGACTAACCTTGGAGAAGCCGAAATCATCACAATTTTGGAAAACAGATCAGGACGAGTAATGGAAGCGACCGCCCCAATCATAGCCGACACAGAGTGACCGACAAATATACATGAAGATACCCGAAGTTCCTCCAGAATGCCGATCACATCGTACGCATAACCTTCCAGAGTCGCATACCTCTCGAAATCGAAGTATTCAGGGTTTGTGGTACCTGCCCCCATGTTATCGTACAAAACAACCTTGTAATCCTCGACGAGATGAGGAACCAGATGCTTCCATACCGATTGGTCGGTACCGAAACCATGTGCCAAGACGATGGTCCGGTGGCCGGAACCTAGGATTTTGACATTGTGAGCTTCTTCGACGACTCCCATGGTGGGTGGTTGATTTAGGTTTTGTGGTGGAGGTGTGAAATTGGGTTTTGTTAATATTGGGGGGATGAGTACCACATGTCTGGTGGGTTCGGATATTTTAATTTTGTTTGATAAGCATCTAGGGTGGTTTGATTGTGCGTACGTGTGATGCAGGAACATATTGTGGGGCTGTTTGATCTGACGGTTGATTTGGATTCAATCGGACTTGATTTTTGACTGCTAACTACCACGATGGTCGGTCCATTGTAGCAATCGAGGGTGTGATTGCAGAAAATTGATTTGAATAACCGGTCTTTTAATTAATTTTATTTTTTAGTCAATTTTTTAATTAAAATTTTAATTTAATCAAAGTTTAAAGAAATATCGTTTTTTTTATTAACCTGGATATTTAACCTGCTATGCGAGCTGACTAATCTCAGGGCGACCACCTGCTTTACAGATAGCCCAGAGTCACCGTATTTGAACCTCCGTGGCCACAAGGGGATTTTTATTTCTCCTTGGATTTGAACCTGGGACCTCCTGATACTTTTGACATTTGTAGTCAAGCTCAAACCAATCAGACACCACCCTTTACGAATATGTACAAGAATATTTTTTTTCTCCAAAAATACGTCTTTACGCAAATTCATAAAACATCTGTAAAGACTAACCATTTTGGAAAGAGGTTTAAAAAAGTAGCTAGAAAGATAATTTAGTTGACCAGACCGACTATTTGAGTCAATTTCATTGTTATTGTGTTCATTGCCAACGATATATCAGTTTTTTTTAGTTACGGAAGTTTACTCGAACGCTTATCCGATAAGCACTTATCGATAAGAGTCAATGCTCTCGTTTACCTTACCGGATAAAATTATAATCCATTAAAACAACATTGTATGCAGTAATTTATCCGATAAGTATTTACTAGGTAAAAGTCATCACACCTTCTTACCAAGTAAGATTCTCGACCTTTACCATCTGTATAGATTTAAAAGTTTTTGATCATGAATTTTTTTTCCATAAATGGAAGGAGCGTATTTTTAAATTGGGAAGGTGGGTTTGAAAACTTGGCTTTTTGTTTAATATCATTAAGTCACTACCAAACAGTCATTTATATTTGGCTAAATAAATTGTGAGTCTCATTAAGCTGCGAACAAACAGACCCGTAGAATTACATAGTTTTTTCATACGACTTTTTAATCATTCAACTTACTAGCTAGTTTATAAGATATAACAATTTTATCTGATAAGGTTAACAGTTAATTACTCTTGAGTGGTTTTTTTGAATTTGTTATATTTCATACTTTGAATGTTATAATTTAGGGGCTGTGTTGACAGTTGCTGAATGGTCTGGTGCAGAATGATTGAGTGGTAAGAATGATTAGGAGGCTCTCATGAGTCATGATATAGTGCAAAATGAAATATAATTGTTTGTTAATTGTTTATGATGAAATTAGGGCGCTGAATGGTTAAGGGATGTCCATTATACAAAACCATTCAGATGATTTTAAAACCATTAAGAGACAGACTTTTTTTTCAAACAAGGTTCATCTCTTAACGATTCAAATATTGTCTTTTAATAAAACTATTAAAAAGTAAACAAACAACCAATATATTAGAGGTTTTACAAATATATGACATCATTGGGTTATAATTTAATTTATTAAATGTTAAAACACATAGTGTGATGTCAACATGGATTCCATGTGAAGGACAAAGATGGAGATTGGCCACTCAGAATGGTGGAATGCATGCAAATAATCCCTTAATAAAAATCAAAATCTTTATTCCAGAATTAATAAATTAGAGGCTGTTTGGTAATTGATGAATAGTTTGGTGCAGAATGATTAAAAGGCTCTCATGATATAGTGCAAAATAAAATATAATTGTTTAGTAATTGTGTACAATAAAATTAGGGCTCTTAATGTTTAAGGGAGATCCATGATACAAAATCATTCAGAGGGTTTTAGAACCATTAAGAGACAGATTGTTTTTTTGCCAAACAATTCACCTCTTAACGATTCAGAGTTTGCCTCTTAATATGACTATTAAGAGGTAAACAAACAACCCCACTTATACTATACTTTATTGACATGGCAACCTTCTTTTTGAGAATTATATAAATCACGTGAGATTTTTGAGAACCAGTACATCATGTGTTATTTTTATGATTTTTGTTTTACATATATTCGGTTTAAAATGTAAGTATTTTTTACGTGTTTGTGAAATAACAAATACATGTATAAAGTTTTACATTGTGAACTGAACACATATAAACTAACACATTGTGAAACAAATATATGTTAATTAATACATTAAATATTATACCTAGATAGAAAAAAAAAATCATGTGAAATAAAACCTTAAGGATGAAGGTCTCACGGATTTCACAAACATAGGAGTTCTCAAATGATTAAGCACTTTTACTGATAAATGTATATTATATAAATTTAATCTATATATATATATATATTGGAACAGGTTTATTTGAGAAATAAAGAAGTGATCATATCCCTTCATACGTTCAAGATTGGTCAAGAATTACGGTTTAACTAGTCAAATATTGTGAATTAGATTGATTAAGATTTATTTGAGAAGTAAATAAGTTATCATATCCCTTCACACGATAAATTTTAAATAGTTAATTTGATATTAATATCAATACATTTTTTTCAAAATTTTATAATATTTTCATATTTCTATTTTGATTCAAAAATAAAAACATTATCATTTTCTCAAAATCACATAAAACTGTATTATGACATTGACTGAGACAAAAAAAAAAACCAAAATAAACAAAACATTAAAATCAAGATATATTTCACTGTATTATATATAAATATTTTTAAACCAAATAACATCATGTGAAGTTCCAGTGTTTACTTGGCATTCATTTATAGTAAAAATCAAAACGTTAAATTCGAAAACATGTTGTTTTATACAACGAAAATTACAAATACATTTTTCAAAATATTTTTATTTAACCAATTAGGCATGATCCATAATATTCATTTATTTTTAATATCCAAAATATAACGTGAAATATTTAAGGGGTGTTTGGAATTGCTTATTTGAAACAATTTATGTTTTTTTACAAAAGCATAAATCAACTTATATAAGTCAGAAGAATTTAACTTCTTAAAAAACTCCTTATTACCGGTTTGACACATGTATAAGTTGTTTATCCAAACACTTAAAAATGTTTATTACCGATGCCACACCGGAATAAATCAATAAGTTGTTTTTATAAGTATTCCCAAACACCCCCTTAGTAGATAATCAAGTTCTTTAAAATTCATAACTAATTAAAAATATTTGTTGTCTTTTTTTATTAATCTGGATATCCAACCCGCTACACGCGCCAACTAATCCCAAGACGACCACCTGTTTTGCAGGTAGTTCAGAGTCACCGCGTTTGAACCTTCATAGTCACAAAGGGATTTTTATTCCTCCTCGTATTTAAACATGAAACTTCCATGCACTTTTAACCTTTAGAGTCCCAAACAGACTCAAACCAATCAGACACCACTCTTGTGGTTAATATCTGTTGTCTTTATTGCAAAATAATATTATTTTTTTCATTTGTAGTGCTTAATAATTCATAAAATTTAAAAATAAAATCGAATATTCCTTGTGCGTGCTTTCTTTATTTGGCATAGGAGTATCATTTATTTTTAAACCTAATAATTTATTTGTAAAAAAAATGTATATTTTCTATATGATGGACAAAATTTGTCTGTAGTGATTAAGACAAATAAAAAGCCAAAAAATAATAAATATAAATAAACAAGTTGGGTGGCCAAGCTTCGAGCTTCGATAAAGATCCTTTTGACCGTACAATTATTGTAAATTTTTTTTTGCATACACGACAATGATTAAAAAAACGTTATATTTTATAAAATAATATATTTATTTATAAAATATGAAATAGTTAGATGATAAGCACTAAATAGTTTTTTTTTTCTCATTAAAGTACAATTTTTATTTCGTGTGTTTTGTTTCTGTAATTTTAAAATTACCAGATGACCATCATGGTTTGAAAAATATTTAAATTTGGTCTCTTACTCTAACAATCGTTAAAAGAATCTGTTAAATAAGTAGTGTTTTCGTCTTCTTAACGATTTCGTTATCGTTTACCTAATTAAGAACCACAACGATCAAATTGTAAAATCGATTTTGGTTGGTTAAAAGACAAAAGAATCGATAAAGAAATGAAACTGTGCTTCGTTTAACGACTGTTAAAAGGGAGAGACCAAACTCAGATGTTTTCACAAACTATAATGATCATCTTGTAATTTCGAAACTACAGAGACGAAAAATGTTACTTTCAACAAACCATAAGGACCAAATTTGTTGTTTACTCTTTGTTACTCCTTCCGTCCATAATGTCCACGTTTTCTATTTATATTTGTCCCAAAATAAGTGTCTAATAATTAAAATTTTCCAAATCTATTCTTAATTAACACATAAATATTTAAGAGTTGACATGATAAATAAATTGAATAGGAGTAAAGTTGTCATATATTCAACCGTGAGGCACGCTGCACGCACATGCGTGCTTGACCCAATGACGTCAGAGGTTTGATCAGTTCCATAATTACATGTAATATAAGTGTTCTTTGTTTTTTTTTTTTTCTTTATATCTGAATCTCCTTTTATTATACTTATATATTAAACAAATAAAATTTAAAAAACAACCCTATGCATTTTGGCGCAATGTCTTATCTTTACTAGAACGGTAGTCGCACAATTCAACGAAATACATTTTCGATTTTAATGTTCTATCTTATTTTTTTGTCTCCCTCGATGTTATAATACGATTTTATGTGTTTTTAAGAAAGTAATAATGATTTTATTTTTGAATAAAATATAAATTTGAAGATATCATAAAATTTTGAAAAAAAAAATATATTAATATTAATATCAAATCATTATTTAAAATTTCTCATTTTTTATGTAATTTCTTTAATTTATTTATTTTTATTATAATTTAATTTAAGTTAATAATGAAATAATTTATTTTTGGTTTAATAATGTAACATTTTATAAGGATAATAATTAAATATTCTGTTAGAACTCGATAATTATCCTAATTA